CTTATCATGGTAAAAGTGCTAGGTATTCTGGAATACTCCTTGGTCTTTAGGAAATTATGTACCAATATTTGTTTATTTTAGAAATAGTTTACTATGATCAGAACTACTTTTGATGCCACAGGTATTATCATTAAAATGTCTGTTTTTCGATATTTCTTTTGCATGTATGTCGTTCAACACAGAAAAATATTTTTGTCATGAGCATTGAAGGTATTTGAACACAAACATTTATTTATTAGTCAACTCCATTCGCGAAGACGTGCCATACGATCAAGTGTATTGTCGTGAGTTGTTGACCAAAATTTGATGTCTTTACCAGCTCAATTTGTTTGTACAACGGTTTTAGTACTTGCAAATAGAAAACGTGGAGGTTCAAATTTCAATAAAAATACTTGAAAAAGTTAAACGTTTTTTGACGTGGTGACATGGAAACATCAAGACAAAGGGCTGTTTCTTAAAACCAACTTCTGAATTGTAGTTAAACCTAAAGGGAATACTGGACGATTTGAAAATAATAGCACTTTTACCGCGTTAATCTCTATTATCAGATCTCGCACCTTATGATTTTTCTGTGAATTTAATCGTCGATGTAGAATTTTAAAAAGGCATCTGAATGAATTGAACTTGTATAGTTTCTTCAAATTATACTTACATTGAAAACTTTTACGAGGAAGATATCTGCTTCATTGGAATAAAGTTTGGCTACAGTTTCATTGGCATCATGGCAAGGGATTATCTCAGTCGTAGCGTTCAAAATTTTAGCTATTAAAAGATATTTTTCGAAGTCAGACCCTGTCCATTTTCCGTTTTCCTTATATACGCCCGGTGGGTATTCATAGAATGCTGCTCTCAGGGGATATCTGTGAAGGTTAGTCACTTTATTCAGGTTATAGTATTGGCAAAAATTTTTTAAGCGCTTGACGTCGAATACTTTTTCTTCCGCAAACGGTCGGAAAGTGTACACTTCGTAACTACGGTGCACAAAAACTAATAGAAAATTGAGTATGTTTTTGGACCAAATATAGGACAGAATTCCGTTTAAAACCGTTAAATCTTCCACCTGAGATGTTACAATGAAAAAAGAATAAGCCATCTGATTAAAAAGCGGGTTTTCAGTCAAGTTTACAGCAGCCACAGGGACATTTTCAATTGTATCAACAAATACAAAAAAAGTACCAACTTCGTATAACAGGTCATCATTTAGAATATTAGAATTTAACACCAATGTACCACAATCATTATTTTTTTTCAAAAACGAGTTAGCGATGTCTTTCGATGAGTCTGAATTTGAAATTGTATAATAACAAGTACTGCTATCCAGATGTGGACAAAACTTCAGTTTGTCCATCAAAATGTTTAATTCAATTTGAACATTGTTTGACTCTTGAAAAAAACTACCACAAACTTTCATAACTACCACAAATGATACCATAATATTAACTAGCTTCATGATGCAAACGATTGCCATACAAAATAGTTTTTGAAGGTGCATCCATTCCTTTTTATATGTTTGAAACTAGTAAATATTAAATGAAGTTTTAACGAACTTTTGATGGCGAGAATTATTAAGCGTCAATTTCAGCGGATGCATCTAGTTAATAAGTGCATAATAACTTTTGATGTGAATATAATCGTTACATATTTTATCTAGTAGCAAGTACCAGTATTTCTTCTTCTTTTTCCAATAATTTTTGTAATTACGCTATGATAATTGAAACAAACATACAGTAAAACGTAGCTTTTTTCATTTTGCTTTATGTCCAATTATCGTTTATGTTTTCTTTGTCTATACAGAGTGTTCTACAAGTTATATCACAAACTTTGACAGCTGGATTAATTTCATACATTTTTTCTTAAATGAACATAGGTCCGATTCGTTTTTGTTTAGAAGTTACAAGCATTTTAAAAACTATAACTTCATATTTCAATCAAGTAGTAGTAGTAGTAGTAGTAGTTGCAGTAAATAGGGCGAAATTAGTCTGACAATTAGGCCAAAAGTGGGCCCTTTTGCTTACCCAACGTCCCATCACTTATCCACTATCTGCCTCTGACCCTCCTCGAACCTACTTGACGCCCTGCTGAACGCCAGGATTTTAGTTCATGGCAGGTCCCTCACTTCATCCCCTTGTAGCCTTCCGAAGGCTGCACAGTGTCCTAGACGGTGGATAGGAGTATTCTCCACTTTATATTTCAATCTAAGTAGCCTGATAAATAAAAGTGATGGTTTCTATAACAATAATTATTATTTATGTTTAAATTTAGTTAACCTTTATTAACCAAATTACCAAGATTACTTGCTATAGGTATGCCGAACACTGATTGAAGAGTTGTCAATGACAGCATCTATTATATCTTCTTCATTTTGTACATTCGCTTCATAAGTAGGCCGAAGGGCAGTTTTTGAAGCGGGGTTACCTTCTTCTCGAAGTATACGAAATGATGTACTAAAGACTGTGTGCGCAGGTTGATGCTTATTTGGGTATCTTCGTCGGTATTCTCTGCCGTTCCCATTGGAGTACCCATATACAAAGACATTATCTTCATACTCTCCAGTTGTAAATATATGCTTCTCTTTATTTATCACTTTAACGCTTAGTGCCAAATTCAGAGACTTCCCTAAATCTATACTAACCTTTCACTCATTTCAAACTTATGCTTCACTCAACTTAGGGTGCCCTCATGTCATTCTCAATTCTGGTATTCAGAAATGTGTATAAATGAGTCACTAACTTGAGTGTGCATCAAACCACAAATTACTAGATAAGGGAACAGTTGGCAACTCAAATATTACCAAAATTATGTCATCAGTGGAAACCTAATGTCATAGTATTTCTTTGTTTTGAATTTGAATAACTCTCGTTGAAAATATATACATTATAAATTACATTTAAATAATAAATAATGAAAATCAAAAGGTCTAATTAATTATCCATGTAAAAACGATCCATCTTATATCCCAAGTAATAATTAGTTAGCAGTTAGTAATATTTAGTTCATTTTCCCTACTATATACTTCATACAGAGTAGAATGAGTGACAAGCAATCATTTATGACGTATGTAACAGAAATTATTTCTAAAAAATAATTATAATTTATATAGCGTTCACGTACAGAATACCTGGACTTAATTATTTGTAAAATATACTGCTAGAATATTATGAAACCACAACATTAATAAATTACGAACATATAAGCACACGTCAGACACCACTAACATGTCACTAATCTAGCACTCATTTGTGAGGGCGATTTGAGGACGATTTAAGTGACTCATTGAATTAGAATTGTTTATGAATACAATTAGGGTGAGTTTAGTATGAGATAAGTGTGGGTGGAACTTTAGTGAGATCTATGAATTTGGGCCTTAGTGTCAAATGAATAAACAAAATGACACAAATAATAATTATTGTTATAGTAACCATAATTTTTATTTATCAGGCTACTTTGATTCAAATATGAAATTTTAATTTTTAAAATGCTTGTAACTTCTAAACAAAAACGAATCGGACCTATGTTCATATAAGAAAAAATGTTTAAAATTAATCCAGCTACCATAAATAGTTTACCTGTGTATTTTTTAATATGCCCACATTAATTTTTGCAATTTTACGCTTCCTCAAATATTAAGTTAGGCAATTCAAATTATCATAAAAAATTGGTCAAAATTCTCATAAATCTTGTTTATAATCTTGGAGAACATTTCCAATAATAATCAAAGTAATATGTAATCAAAATTGTTAACTTATTGAGAATCTCTGGAATCGACCCCTACATAAATAGATGTGAGTAGTTGTGGTCACAGATAGTGCGCCGTCCTCTTCTTTAATACGTCTTTTATTGTAAACTATTAGTTTGTCATCAGTTCTACTTTGGTTTTTATTATGGAAACGTGCGTAAAATATCAAGCAAAATTATTACTGAACAAATATTTAAGTGATGTCTACTTTTTCAATTTTGTCTTACTTCTAACTTTTTCTGGAGTGTATGAAAAATGGGACCGAATCAATCGACCAATCAAGGAATAAGCAGTTCCAAAAAGTTCCTACGAATTATTATGGCAAGTCAGAAGATATTAATCGCGTTTTCATTAGATTCATTTAATATATTATCAATGTATATAGGTATTCTTTGTATACGAATGAAATAATATACCTACTTGTTTCCAATACTTGTAGTCACATTAAGCAATGACTAACATGAATTTCGTCAACGATGTATTATTTAACATACAGGGTGTTTACAAACTTGGAAAGGCTATTTGAAGTGTAATTGGAAGTAGGAAAACTCGATTTAGCAAATAAAATATATGTATTTAATATTACTCACCACAATAATACGAAGTAATATTTTTGGGACAGTTACATAACAGTTTCCATCAGTGGCATGTTACCACCATGTCTATTAATTCATTGTTACAGTATTTGTGGTCTATTTTAGGATATTTATTCGCACTTATAGACAAACACACACATGCCCCAAACAGTTAAAAGAGAACAGAAAAATAAATAAATAAACATTTTTTTTCTAGTAATTTTGAACCAGCGATCTGTTTACTAAAATAAACGGAGAAAAGAAGAGTATGGCGCACTATCAACAACCATATCACCTCTTTTTATGTAAATGACGATTCTAGAGATTCTCCATAAGTTCTAATAATTTTGTTTCCTAATTTTAAACACCGTTTTGCAGTTTTTACGGTTTTGATAGCAGAAAATGTTTATTTTTATTGCATTCCTCTTCAAGTTTGTAAGCACTTTCAAATATTTTTTTGGTGTACTTTTAAATTGATAGTTTTAAATGTTTAAATAAATGAAAATATAGCGAATACTATATTTTTGTTCTTTTCTGGAGTTTTCAAAATTTAGTTAATCTGCTTAGATTTAGATGTTTACTTTGTTAATTGGCATTTATTCAACAATGTCGCTGTTCTTGATACTCATTCTTATTGCTACTTTTGTAGCCATTATAACAGGTTTAGTAGAAGTCAATAAAAGACAAAATATTACAAAATAATTTTTATTACAAAGAAGCAACAGCAGTATTAATTACTGCTTTACATATACTGTTTTCATAGACTATATTAAAATATAATTATTTCTGTAATACAATTTCAAGTACTTATCAACAAAATACAATACAAATGCATTTCTTTTCATAGAAAAATCTTACACATGTACACTTTGGTCCTGTCCGAATAAAAGGGACATAAAATACTTATCAATAATACAAATACAAGTTTGTTCATTGGTTCAGTCGAACTACAATATTCTCTTACAAATTTCCACCATTGTGTCTCGCTATAAATCATTTAGCAAGTTAAATTAAATTAAAAGTAGAACGCAAGATTTCCTATCCTGTCATTCCAAAATGTCTCCTCGGCAACATGGGCTGCCTTCTCTAATGCGACGTTTTCATTATTCTAACCATTTTTCAATTATTATTATTTTTTTCAATTTATAATCCTTTGTACAAAACTGAATTACATAAGGGCCCTCAGATGGGCAACTCGATAACGGGCCTTGGGAATTCTTCCAAGGTGCACTCGTAGAAGTCTGCCAGGATTTTCTCTGTGGGCGACAGAGGAATCTCGTCATCTGGAGTAGTCGGTGATGCTGCTGGATCTTTGACGATAATGGCGCAGTTGCAACCAGTTTTAGACGAAACGCCGCAATAATCGGCTAGTTTTTCACTGCTGTTTACCTGAAAAGAACAAACACGATTAGTTATCTAGTATTTTTACATGAAGATAAATTTGAAGCTATAGTATTGTAGTAATGTTTTCCTACGGCGATGGTGAGAGATATCACACAAGTGATAGGCAATTTAAATATGTGTATATGACGCAGTTGTCGAGCCTACTACTATGAAAGGCATGATAAGTCATATGTAAATAATCTAAATATCCTTACTTTGAGATTAGTGTTTTACAATCGTAGTTCAAATAATGAAGATATTTTTTTATACTACGCATACGTGAAATAAAAGAGAAAAATAATTTAACTAATGACCGATTTAACGGATGAGATACGTAGTCACCTTAAAATATAGTGTAGGGTAGTTATTATTCTACTCAGTGTTGCAGAAAGGGTGTAACAATTATTAAATGTCTTGTGGAGAAATAGACCTCGTCATAAAATAATTATACCTAAGCGTATTGACCCGGCCAAAATCAATAAACTTAATAGCTATTTCTACGAAGTGAAATATGAATTCGGTCTACCAACTCGGAATTACGCCAAATGTGTTTTTAACAACGTTGTGTGTAATTGTGAAGTAAGTACTACTTGGACACATTTGTAAATCCAATAAATAATGTATCTGATATGAATTTACATTTTTTAAATGAATATTTCCTAACAACTTTTACGTTCGGAAAATCCCAAGCAGAATACATGCTAGCACGGAGAAAGTTGATAATATAACCATAATTAACGCAAGTGAATATGTGTCTCGACCCAAATAACCGTTGGAACTCACTGACCACGACGTGATACTATTTGCGTCACGCGCTCACGCGAAATTGTTTTGCTTAGGTATATGATGTACATCCGACATGCGTCGTTGCGTAATTGAAATTTAGATTATTTAGAGAAAGAGGATCGTCAATTTTTCAATTCTACTGGTTTTTTTTTTGGGAAACAGTTATTTACTTAATTGAGAAAAACAAATCAAAGACGTCACTCGTTTTAATTATGCAAACGTACATAACGTGTTTTTACAACTAGATGTTACTTTGCGCCATATTTTGATGGTTGTGTAAATTATTTACAAAATCGTTTTCTTTTCAAACAAAAATGAAAGTTTGCAACACGCGCAGAAATGCACCGACATTGAGGCGGCGTTTATTATTGTTTTCATTGACATTCCACGGAATTGTCCTAGTTTATTTGATCGACACGCTTTTTATAAGTATCTTCGTTCGTGTCAAAGATAACGTTTACGGAGAAATTCGGCCTTGGATTCATTTAGTGACCACACATGGGATGCATTTTAAATTATAAATCACGGTCGGTTAAATTGTGTTGAATTCGTCGATAGCAACGATGTTGCGGTAAAAACAGCGAAAGTAGTTTTGGGCACAAGGACGTTTTGCACAAGGGTAGGGTGCTTTATGCAAAACGGTTACTTTGTTATTTTAAGGATGGTGAAAATGAAAGCAATGTGAAATATCCCTGTTTCTTTTAATTATCTACTTCCTAACTGCCAGATTTTCCTTGATAATACCTGATAAAATATTTATTGTCCTTTCTAAACACTGCTTATTAATTTTAACAATCTCGATATTGATTAATTTTCAAGGAAGGTTGTAATAAAATTAAGCCAATAAATATCGGTTTTATCGGTATTTCCCATTATCAAAAAAAGGATAAGCTAGTAGAAAAACATTACTATTTTTTTCTCTTGTAAACCATAAAGAAAAACAAACCTACCTGTATGACAGGAATATAATTCTCGTAGCAAAAGGCCTGGAGGAGCACCGTCTGAATGTGCGTGGTTGCATCCCCAGGTCTGGTTTGAGGAAGGACGCAGATGACGACGTCATCTGGCGTCTTTTCAAGGTAGGCGATGGCGGGCAGCAGACCGCAGATAAGGCGTCTTTCCACCTTTGCTCGGGTCAACACTCCTCGCACTGCCTTGCCAAGCTTGCTCCTGAAAAATAAACAAAGTAAGGTTAATACCTTTTCGTGCGACGTGCGTAAATGTTCAATTAACTTAATTAATGGTTGTTTTGTTCAAAATGAGGAATTTCCAATAACGAACACGTGGAAGACATGTTAAAGCCATTTGGTATCTATCAGTCGCTTATACTAAAGCTCCCAGTAATGACGAGGCGTTTTTAACACAAACTAACAGTTTTACATAAATAATGTACAAAAACTAATAATAATACCCGTTTTCTTAACATGGTGCCGTAGCTTTTCAAAAACAAAGTTAAATTTAATGAATCATAAAAAAATCATTGTATAAGTATCTGATAATTTACCAAATGTAAGTATGTACGTATTGTAGATATGATGATTTTGCACGTATTGTGAAATAAGGAAACAATACAGCGTAATGGTTAAATGGATAATAAAATTATTAGTAAATTTGAATTTTCCAATAATTTAAGAACAGTATTTTTTAATAATGAATGAAAAATATTTTTTTACTTCTTTCCAATTTTGAGTTCGTATTAAAATTCATTGTACATTGTATTAATATACTCATTTAACTCACAAATTGTTTTGACCATTTATAGCAATTTACATTAATTTATTTTAATAGAAAAAAATGTATTTGAAAAGTTAAAAATGCAAAAACATCAAAGTATAACAATATAACATTTGGACAACATTGCATAACGGTGCAATTATGATTTTACATATCAAAACATCTTACCTGTTGATCATTTTGCATCTGTTGTCGTTGACTTTGGATACACACATGGTCTTAACTGAAATAGCTACTTGGGCCACTCTCACTGATTTATACACTTCACAAGTTTTAGATTCACTAATGTCAACACCTAATCCAATGGGGTGATAACTCAAGTAAGACAATTAAACTGTAATATTGTGTAATATGTAACAACTGTTATTTTATCACAATCGCGCTCTACTGCTAGCTCTAACCGCGCTTCGACGTATGACGTAAAGTGGCAACGCGTTGTTTTTATATCGACCGTTGTATGCGAAGTGGGGGATCGTCTGGAAGCCGGGTTTAGTGTTTTGTGAAGTTCGAGGAAACCCTAAGCCGGTTATAGACCCAAAACACCAGCGGTAGAATTGACATTGAGGATGATATTGAGATGGGTTTTTCAGATGTGCTACTTGCATTGTGTTTATGCAATGCTATTACGGTAACATTAAGGTTAATATATAATAATACGTGAGAATATTTATTAATAGTTATTTGAAAATAAAAAACATATTTTTATTTAATTGTTATAGGTACATGTTCGAATATGTTTCAAGATTTTTATGTTTCATATGTTTACTTTTGTTCAGTGAGAGATTTTAATGAAAGAGACTTATCCATTTGTTTGAAGGGTAATAGTTTCCTTTTTCACTCAAACAGATATGTTAGAAATAAATAATATCAGACAATAGCAACACATTTATTTAAAAAAAAATAGGCTCGTAATGACTTCTTAATGATATACTTCAACATGTGCGTAATAGTATATTACGTAATAAGTGTTGTAAAAAGCATTTTCCTCACGAATGGAAAAGTTACTAAGTTAGGTACTTAGGTAATTCTACGAGTGCGTAATTGCATTACACCACGTATTACGTACTATACTTTACCTACGACCACTACTGTAAATACTTAAAAACACACCGTCTGCGATCAATGTAAGATTCCTATTTTACGTACGGTAAAAAAATCGCACAGCTTGCTAAAAAAATCGTACAGTTTTCCTAGCAACCGCCTTGCAACGGTCAATACAAACAGTATTGCTAGGCGGTTGCTAGGAAAACTGTGCGATTTTTTTACCCTACGTAATAGGAATCTTACATTGATCGCAGACGGTGTGTTTTTAAGTATTTACAGTAGTGGTCGTAGGTGTACATTCTTATGTAGGTACCTGCGACAAGTTGCCGCCAAGTCAATCAAGACCCCAAAAAAAAATCATAATAATTTTAATTGTAGGTACATTTTGATACATTACAATAATTTTTTAATAAAATAATCATGATTAATACGTATAATAGACATGAAAGTTTATCAGTTAATTCACTTTCACTATCGTCAATTTCATCACATATTTCTGTAATATTTCCAAAATGAATGTTCAATAGTTTTCATATCCGAAACACAATTTTTTCAAAACTACTCACAATCGCTTTGTCCACTTCTCTAATAAGTCCTGGAAGTCCCAGAATCGTTGCTTGTTTTCTTCTCGATAATTAATTAGGTTATTTCACTTTCCATTTTTCCGCTCAATGAAAGTTGCATACATATGCAATTTTTATAATCTCTGTATCATCTAAAGATAAAGCATCTTCTTCGATTTTCACTACCGCACTGTGCTATGTACCCACTTCAATTGATTGAATAATGAAAACTATGTTTTTGGCTCATATGAACTTTTGAATTGATTTTGCAAGAATTTAATCCAATTATTATCCCTTATGAAACAACTTAATTGTAAATTGGTTCCTAGAATGAGATTATTCCAAGTGCAATCCCTTCCTACCCAATAAACTTATTTGCTTGCCACCTGAATTTTATGATTAAATGAACTCAGACCGACAAAGGTAACTTATTCCAAGTAACAATTTAGTAAAGCAGCCCCTGTAATATAAGTTACTCTGTAAATAAAAGTAAATATTACATTTGTTAATAAATTAAGAAGGCAATAAGAAAAAAAATATTAATTTTACTCCGAAAATGAAAAAAAAGTTAAATGTACAAATTACATACGGGAAGCAATATTGTATGTGTAGAAAAAGATAGATGTTGGATTGCATAAACAGATCTACTTAATAAAATTAACAGAATACTTATCACTAAATTAAAAAATACATAGACAACTAACATGATTTGCGCCCAGGAATGAGACGCGTGTTTTACTAAACCCAATACACTTATTATTAACACGAACAAATTTTCCTTTCAGTGAGAACGGAATTATTTCTAAATAATTTAACCTAGACGAGACGCTTTTTACACGTTTCGACCTTCAGTAACAACTATTATTACTTTCCGTAACGTCTGCAATTATTTTCAAATTATTACACTACTGTTACATTCGTCATAGTGCATTAAAGACAAAATATGATATTATCTACAAATATGTAAGGTAATAAACATGAGGAAAACTCCTTTTGATGTTTGCACTGAAATTCTTTAGAGTTGATTTAATTTATCTTGATGTTTCATGTCGCAGAAGAGGCACATGGAACAATAATTTTAATCAAATCGCACTTTGTCTTATTTTATCAGTTGTGTTACTTCCCAAAAGGTTTCCCTTGTTTATTTCACGCATCTGGGAAGTGCCTGTCTATTCTGCAGAGTTCGAGAAGTAAAACAAAGATAAAATTGAAGTAATCATGCATGAACTATTGGGCAAAGGACGTGGACATTTCGAGAGAAAATTATTTTGTTATTAGAATATTATTAGACAATATGTAACGTACACAACCAAATTTCAGTTTTCTTTCGTAGAACAATGTGCGTCTAATGTAGTTCAAAATAGACTAGTGCAAATATAATAATTTGTATACCTTTTATTTGCACATTAATTTATATTTTTATTTTTACGATTTTAATAAAATGTAGGTGTTCATACTTTTATGTTCCCTGGAATTTAGTCTAAAATAAAAAAGTAATAGTGTGCCTCCCATGTCTTTCTTTGCATTGAAACCATTTACGTCTAGGCATAGGGCACAGATAACTCAAAATATTTTCAATTTTCTTAGGGAATAGAAAGTATTTGACATTAATTTTTGCATGTAAATAAAGCAATAAAAAATTGTCAATATAGTCCGTCAAATGTGAACAAATAGTAGGTTTTATATAGAGACATACTTATATTTTTATCAATATGTAAACTTGACGCTTACAAATATTTACAAAGACCAAAAAAAAATTATAAAATTTGTGACGAAGAAATATTTTACAACTTAATTTGTTCCCAATTTGACGTTGTAGAAATGTGTTTGGTGTGTTCCATATTATACATAATAGAGACATACATTTCAGAGGTAGTTACAATATATCATTTTCGCAGGTATTTGAATATCGATAATATATTCGATGATCTAATTAATACATATACTAACTATAGACCGAATTATCTTACATTAATGTTTTATTTACACGATTGTGCTCCTTGGGTAAATATAAATTATTATGTTTTATTATTAGTCCAACAATAATAAATAAGAGATACATAATTTGTATTGTAAATTACAAGTCATAGTGACAAATAAAAGCGACAAAACAGAAGAAAATATTTATTTTGACAGCTCCTATTAGAAAAATATTTACGTTTCGTTCTGAATTCTTGTTATTATTTACGTTATATTGTTATTAATTTCAATATTCGACGCAATTAACACATTCTGAATTAACCAGTTTATATGTGTGAAATACAAACATTGCAATAAACATTAATTACTTAGCATAAAATGGATAAAAATAGTAATATATGTCGGCATCACCCTTGTAACCGCCTATGAATTCGTAGCCACTCGAAGAACTGTCGCCGTCGATAGAATGTTGGGGACTTTTTTGTTCATGTTACAGAAATATTAGAGTACCCATCGATCTCTTCAGGGTTAAGTTTTAGTTTGTGTGTGAAAAACCGTCATTATCTAACTTTTGTAAACACTTCCTTATATGGTCATGTTTGGTAAAAAGTAAACTGATAGGGTAAAGGAATGCACTGGGTACCGCCCCTGTNATATATGTCGGCATCACCCTTGTAACCAACCGCTTATGAATTTGTAGCCACTCGAAGAACTGTCACCGTCGATGTCGATGGAATGTTGAGGGCTTGTTTTTGTTTATGTTACAGAAATATTAGAGTACCAAATTGTTATCTCTTCCACTTCCTTATATGGTGATGTACTGATGTATGGTAAAAAGTAAACTAATAGGGTAGAAGAATGCACTGGGTAAGGCCCCTGTGAACGGAAAGCCCGGGAAGCAACTGCATCATTCAATTGATGAAACAGCCATAGACGTGTGGTTTTTATTTTTATTATTATTGTTATTATTGTTTTGATGGAAAAGTAGTGAACACGTTGCTAGGGCTGACAGTGGCGGACCGTTAGTTCCTATTTTATAACTTGTATAACAACTACCGTACTTTAGTGTTCGAACTTAACGTAATAAATAATGTCACATCACCCGTGTATTATTTCGATGGAGACAACGGAGTAAACTAATTCCCATGTCCACCAAGCGCCTCCGACATATATAAAATAATTATTTCTGCAGGTAATTTCAAAACAATTTCCTTTCACACAAAGAAGTATGGACATTGTAACTTGACACCCTGTATAAATAATATACAATAAGTAATTCGTTACGTCTTCATGGGGTCCTGTGAAAAATAGATTTCGAGTTAGTCGTATGCAACTGAGAATTTTATTTCTGAAAATTGGTAGACCAAGATATTATTAACTATAATTACAAGATTCATTGGTCAGGATAGTAAAACATACGAATGTAAAAAGTTATAAATCATTACCTCTGCCAAGCGTGATAAATTTAACCCATATCTAAGAAAATTTACTGGCAGGTGAAAAGATCGACCCTAAACTTTATTATTATTGTGGTATAAATTCGTAATCACAATATGTCATTATTTAAAAGGTAGTAAAAGGGGTAGGTATTTCTGTTATACAGGGTGATTCAGTCATAATGTCATTAATTTTAACCACGCATTCGGAAGGTCTAATAAAGATAGAAAATCGAAAAAAAAATTTTACTCGACCTTTTAAAAATAAGCAAAATACCCCTTAACTCCTGTTAATCCGGTGCCCTACTCCGCAACAGGGAACGCGCCGGCAGACTATAGAGCGCTCGAACGTGGAAGCGAAACAGCTAATTTCTCCAGTCGTCTTGAATTTTGCGATTGGTTTCAAAATCAAAATGCAGCGGATCCCAATTTTATTAACAAAATCATATGGACGGATTGGCTTTCGCCGAAATGTCATTTTAAATAGGTAGATACTACTATTTGAAAAGCAGTCAGTCACACAATAAAGTATACGTACTACAAACCGAATAATGAACTTAATACTAAAAACTCATATTCAATTTTAAAACATAGTGAAAGCTGTTTATTCGTTGTCGTTGATTACGGATTAAAAACGCATTAAAATCTAAGTTAATGACTGAATGTTACGGTAGGTCAAGATTCACTCTCGATAAACCTTTGTAGGTCAGTGGTCAGGAGCGGTCCGAAAAGGGATTTAAATAAAGATTTGAAAATATTTTTTCAGTCTAAATGTGCATTTTAAAATTTTATTTTATTCTTTTTATTAGGATTATCCTAAACCTTTAGAAAAGGTTCTAATCCCTTTATTTCGTTTTCCTTTCGAAATTATCAATGAATTAATAAAATCAAATTTAACTGGAAAATGTCTAGTGATTATTACTACCGCTGTAATTTTTATTGAACTATAAAACTGCTATTCAAAAACCAGATATTATAAAAAATTTACAAAAGCTGTATTATTTAAACGTAATTAATAATTTCAAATTCGATCATCAAATGCATTACGACACACGCGAATTATTGCAGTGATTCAAATAGGATCACGAACAATTAACTCTTAGCAAATAAAGTAAACAACAACAAATTTATGGTGCATCAGTGATCGACCTTGGTGCATACAATGTGCTCATTCGACGGCTGGCGCAAAACGTCTTCAACCTCCAAATATTTGCTCCGGCTTCAACCTGAACCGACACGTTTAAACATTTCGTGCGTACATTTCTGTTGAGTCATTCGTAGAACCACGGAATCCAGGACAAACGTATATCCCCAGTATAAGTTAACAGGTCGATGAATGAAAAATAAGAACGGAATTCGAATTGTAATGCAGCGTCCGCGTGCATTTGGGGAATGCACCAGGTAAAATACTTTATGAAAGGGGGTTTAAACGGATCGTAAAATTTTATGGGCGGTTGTTATCAGAAACGGTCAATAATATGAATGAGTCCTGTTACTCGTACTTATTTTATGGCTTCTGTTTACAAGAATGGGCTTATTAAAATTTCGGCGATTCCGAAATATTCGCCTACAGCTTCAATTTCATTACTCTGGCTTCTCCGAATTTAGGGAGGCTGTTTACAAAGAAAAGCTCCCGAGCTTTAATTTTCCTGGGAAAAACGTATAAGAAAATAGGTCTTTGTTGTAATATTGAAGAAGGATAAATCGGTGTTCCCCAAAATTATGTTTTCCAGGAAATTAGAACGGGATGCGTAGAAAAGTTTTAACTAAAATATATTTCTGTGGATAAATATCTCTGTGGCCAGCTTCCAGCTTCTGCATACTAATATTAACATTTTATAGTACATCCCATTTTCGGAGCCATGTTAGCGTATCTAAATGATCAGTATTAAAGAAAAAGTTTTTTGTGAACATTGGTCACTTATAGTTCAATTAAAAGGTCCTTTAAATCGCAATTTTGGTCAAATTGCCTGAATTTTTCATATAAGTTAGTTTGATGTACCTGTATAATAACAATAAGTGACTAATTTTATTTTCAATCTCCAACCAGGAGTGAAAATTTTTTTTCAATCTACTCTAAAAAATGTAAACTATCTTTTCAGACAAATGGATATGTTTTCTAATTTTTAGTAAAAAGGTTATAACAATTTCACAAAGCGAACGTGATTTTTTATCTTTGTCGTAAAACAAAATTTCGAAAGAAACTTTTCATTATTTTATATAATAATCAATCGAATGGCATAGAAAATTGTTTTAGTATTAAATCATAAACATTAACGATTAAAAAATTGAAATTGTTATACTTAACTTTTTTATTAAATATTAAAAATTAAAAATTATATCTATTTCTATTAGAAGGTTTACATTTTTAGAGCAGATTGAGAAAAAAAATATATAAAATCCATTCATTTTTCTGCTTGTGATTTTTTAAATTTCTGAAATCATCTCTTAACTTCTAGTCTTCCTAACTCTGTTAATTTTAATAGTAGGTGCAAGAAAAAATCAATAGACTATTTTTATGCTCTACAACTTTTTTCTAGCTTTTGCCCCTTTTGAGTTTTCTTGAAAAACCCCTTTATTTTACCTTTTTTCACCCCTGGCCGGGGGTTGGAAAAAAATACTGTCACTTATTGTTATTATACATTACAACAAATTAACTTATATAAAAAATTCAGGCAAGTTGACCAAAATTGCGATCTAAAGGCCCATTTAATTGGACTATTATTTGAGAGTTTTAAAGTCAAAACAGGTCTGCGATATACCTTTTAATTATGACCAAATGAATTAAAGATATTTCGTGTGACCATGTAGCTGCTATTGTTGGAATTTTGTCCGATATATTTAGGCCAGGAAATATAGAGTTGGACGCGACATTTTGTTTCGGCAAGCTGAATTTATCACTATAGATGCTAAATATTATGTACAATAACATATTAGTTTCCACAGTCATAAAAATGGGGGGAAGATTGTTTACAGGGCGGTTAATTGTATAATTTTTACGTAAATTCGCGTTTTTCGCGTATAATTTTTTCCATTCATTTCCACGAGAAAATAATAAAGTACTTTTTTTCGTCTTCAAAAGACCTACAAAACTAGCCCTGCAGTCAAAAAATATTGATTAGATCAAAAGTTATAAACAAAAGAAATTTATTTGTGACTTTTGAATTAAACATTTATAAACTTATTATTACCAGAACATTTTGGCATCGCATCCTGTCATTCCTTTTCACTGTCTAATAACTCGCACGAAATCTGGTGTCGGTAAGTTGAATAGTTTACAAGTTATGGCCTTATAAACAAATTAACTAATTATTAGTCGCGACGACCTCGAGCATCTTCCACAATCGCACTGATTTTTTTCATAGTAGATTTCATAATGATACATTGAAATCTATTATTTTTTTTAAATTTCAAATTTGCAACCTGAATTTTTTTTATTTCTTAGCCTTACTTGCAAAATGAAATATACGACGCACGCGCGTGATATAGTTATATGTTATTACATATTCGGAAAGCTTATGAAAAGGGCTTTAAGATAAAAAAAAATCGTCAAGATTCGTTGACAAACAACGGAGTTACATACTCTCAAATATATTATTTTCAAGCGAATTTCGCTTTTTTAATGGCAGGACTATGAATATTATCGTCATGTTCTTCGGACTCGCTGTCGTTCGCTTCCCCCACCCGTCCACCGCGCCACGGCTCGCCGAAAAATCAAGCGACCCACTCACTTTTAACAATATTTCTTATGCACTTAACATACGTCCACAAATAAAATGTTTTTATCTGGGAAAGTACTCGGGTTGCCGTTTATGACAGTATTTTTTTGCCGCTACCAAAAAAAAGTCGCGAAATGGTCCTTCCCAGCTCTTTTTCCTGGCCTTATTCTGAAGAATTTTTCGATTGGAATTCTGCCACATTCTTATTTTTTTCATAACTAAACGTTTTCGACTTACAGATCGAATTCATATTTTTTTAACGCAAACTATAATCGTTTCTTTTTACATGTATAAAATGGATGGAGTTAACCCTGAAACCCTTAACCTTGAAAACAAATACAATATAAACAGAATTTGGTGGCATTGTTGTGCATGGCTGACTATGAGAACAGCAAATTTAAATAATCGGTGGGGTAAATAGAAATTTAATAACAAACGCAGACAGTTTATTGGTTGTATCTAAAGTATCTTTTTTTCGGGTTGTTATGGCGTGTTCTTGGTGTTCTGGGGCTAAGCTCTGTGGGGGCAGACCCACCAGAACCCCTAGGTCCGTACTAGTGTTGATTTCGGTTCTTGTTGTTGGTTCTAAAGCAGCTAAAGAAGGAGCCTCGTCAAACAATGGTGCTCCTCTGAGACATTTCATAATAGCTTTTGTAATTGGTCGCATCCAATTTCCACAAAACATTTAATATTTGCATGAGAAAGCTACTCGAAAAAATGATAGATTTAATTGCAAATACTTCCCACACCTAGTTTTCTTGAAAATATTGCCTTGTTCAAAAATAAGTTCTGTTTTTTTCAAATTTCCCAAGCCCCATAAATAATACTAATGCCCTGCATTCTTACAGCCTTAGTTATGTATGTTAGAAATACCAATGTATATAAACATTTGTTTTCAAGATTATTTGAAAGATACCAAAAGCAGTCACATCTTGAGCGACCTAGATTATTTTATTTCATAGAGTGTGTATGATTCACCAAATTCTCGTCTTTAAATTTAACGTTGGAAAAACCTATAAGCGGAGAACTTGAGTGATAAGAATTATCAATTGCAGTGAGGAGGTACAAAGTTAATGGATATTATGAGATTGCAGTACTTAATTGTTTTTACAACGAAATAACTAAATAGAAAACTGATATTTGATAATTTATTAGTCGGTTGTGTGAAACGATAAAATATTATGACATATTTAAAATGTGGTTAATTTCTGAGAAAACTATAATTAGAGGTAAATAAGTTTGGTATATTTGTTTTCAATTTTTGAACTACTAATATTTCTTTTACCATATTTAATAATAAGTAAGAACTGCTATTGAATTTTTGGTTCTGTGTATAACTACTAAATATTAAAAACATGAAAATTGTCAATAAGTTTGATTATTTTTCTTCAATGTTTTTTTTCTATCCATAGCTTCAGAAAATAATTCCTTGAATTTTAATTTTAAATTACGTTTTCTTGAATGATTTTGATAGAACATTGATGATTCAGTTAATTCGAAACTTATATTTCCATAAAAATGAGTCTCATCTACATGACAAATAAAAATACTTTTTAAGAATTCTGTATTTTCTGTCATTTGCAGAATAATATGATTCAAAATTCGTATTTTGAATTTCGTTGAGTGACAAACAATACAGAATTCGTAAAAATATTTTTTTGCCTGTTTTGTAAAAATATTTTTGTTGCTTGGTAGCACCTTCAATTGTTTTCGTTTATTATTTCAATATCTCCATTCATAACCGTGAAAACAAGTTATTAGCTTAAAATCTTGTACATACAGAATTATTCTAAAAATAACGGTAAAATCCCGTATCCGTTTTAGATATTTCCTTCTAATTTTAAATTTACAATGAACTTCTTGACAATGTAAATATGTATATCAGTTAAAAGTAATTTCTATGAATAAGCTATTACAGCAAAGTATCGATCGAACTTTATCTATACACCTTATCAGATGGAATAAGTATTTGTGGAAATCAGCAGATAGACTGGACTCTGTTTTGCTCTCACAATTATGTATTCAAATAATCTGATAATGACTAAATCTTTTTATCTGCATCAGGAGACAAACAATATGATGACAGGTTGTGACATGTACCTAGTGAAAATACTACTCCATAAAAGGATACAAAAATGCAATAACGGTTATATCATAAAGTTAGATTTAGGTCCTTATTAATTTCGCATTAATTTAACACTGCACTAGGGCCCTGTCTTGAAGTCAAGAAAATTTAGAAAAGTTATAAAATATTCAAGATATTAAAAAATATTATTATTTTAAATTCATATCACTTTATTATGTTGAAGAGTACCTACTCTGCCGTCATCCTTCTATACCTCCGTTACTGAATATTTGGAGAATTTGATTCACCATTAATGAACAGGATTCCAATTCCAGATATTTTCAAAATTGCAAAGTTCCTAAACTGGCTATGTTGTAACAGTTTACGTCTATTATTTGACTTAATTGGAAATCAAATGAAAACATACAAAAGAGATATGAGCCAAAAAAAGAATCAAAGGCGAAATAAGGCCAATGAATTAGGAAAGACTGCGTCACACATTCCACAGGTAGCAGGATGACAGCACGTATGCATTAAATGAAATCCGTTGAGACAAGGCACTTGTAAAGGTAGGAAGACACTGAAAAAGAGCTTATGCAAGCTGAGAAATTAACGTTAAGCTCTGGATTAAGGATATCATGCGAGAATATTTTTTTAAATCGTATCCTTTTTCTACAACAATTTGTAAAGTCGGTTACTGAAGACCAAAAAAAGTATTTAAGAAAATATTGTTCTTAAATACACAACAAAGAAATAATATTACAAAAAAAATGCATTGAAACTTCATAATATTAATATCTACAGAATAAAGGAAAAATCGCACTTTAATAAGGATCATTATCTAATTTTATTAGTCCAACATGTAGCACATGCCTGTTCTCTATTTAATGTAACTTTATTTTGAGAATTTCAACAGACATAACCATCAAATGATAATTACGCAAATCCAATATAAATTATTTAAAAATACATGGGTCCATACTCAGCAATGTAAAAATTATACGAGAAAACATATAGAATCATATAGAATTCCTATTAATTATTAAAATTGTTTAACCTATTAATATAATTTTTTATAATATTGCAAGCATTGCTCAAATCATCAGTATTTGTTTTTTACAATTAAATAATTATGTTTTTGAATGCATTTCAACAATTATTTTGTTAATGAATTATTTTTTCTGTGTGTTATTTATAGAATTTTTCTATAATTTCTTTGACTATCTAAAATGCTAACATCATTAAAATTATGATTACCCTCAAATTTATGTGCAGCCAATGCAGTTTTCTCTTTTTTATTTTTGTTTTTCATTATATGATATTTGATGTCCAAATAACTGCAATGATTACACACTTTTAAATTAAATTTAAAATCAATTTATTTTTCAAAGAATTCATTAGTTAATTGTTTATAATTGTTTTTCTAACACCTTTATATGTGGAATTTTATAAAACTTTGTTCATTTATAATTATTTGTATTTTGCTTAATATTTGCTGTCACATTGTTATTAAATAGTTATATTTCTTATAGTTTATGTACAAAATCATTTATAATAAATAATTTTTGTTAAAAATTGCATAAATATATTTAATACTTTGCCAGAATAAATATTTCTCATAATAATCCATAATCATATTTTGATTTTCAGTTCTTATAGAGCGTTTAAAAACGTCCCTTATCTTCTTTTTCCATGGTAAATTTTAAACCATCATAAAAATTATTTTGTAAGTAATGAACAATTTTTTCTTTTTTAGTTTTGACAATGAACATAATATTGGGATTAACATATATTTTAATCAAAAGGTATAACTTTTCGTAATAAATTTTGCATTACAAAATTTGTAAAAAATATTATCAAAATTAAAATAACTAGTTGCAAAACAAACATCAATGAACAATTTTAACGAAAATACACTATAATTTTGTAATATTTACCATGTTTCTTATATTTTCAATTACTTCTAAACTTTAAAATATTATTGAAACGACTGACATCTAAACATATAAGAATCTAATGGCAAAACTAAACCATAATGTATAAAAGTTTGTAAACATGAAAGGCTATTTTATATTATAATGAAAGGTTGGTAGTAAATGGGACAAAACAACAATTTTTAAATTTTTTTTAGGAAGGTGCCTGAATACTTGGCACGATCGGCCTTGATTGTTTTGTTTATGAATTTTAAGTAAATCGTAAGTTCTTGGAGGTTTTGAATTATAAGTTTTTAAATTCTTACACTCTTCTTCGTCAATATAACCTTGATCCTTTAACTTATTACATTTTGTTTGATATCTACAAGTCGGATCAAAACCCAATTGTTGAAGAACATTATGAGCTTCTAAAGGAACGTTCAATTTTATTTTATATTAAGATTTAATCATAATTACAGTCATTTTACTATTGTCCCATTACCTCACAAAAAAAAGAGAAAATAGAAAACTGTAGTGGCTGCACATCATTTCGAGGATAATCATAATTTGATTTTTAATGACGCTGGTATTTTAGACACTGAGACTAATTGATATGCACTGAAGCACATAATTATTTAACTGTAAATAAAAATGAAGATACTGATGGTTTGAGCATTATTTACATTTATACGAAATTGTATTAATAGATATTTTTTTTTTAGTAAAATGTAGGAATTTTGTATGATGAGGATTTGTTTCCTCGCGTCTATATTGTATTGCTGAGTTTTAAGTAAAGGTGGACTGGATTTTTTTAATTAAAATAATTTATAGTGTATTATAATATTATGAGGGTTGTGTCTGGTTAAACCCTTGAAATTTTATAAATAAAGTTAAATAGACAACAAAGCAAGTGTTGGATTACCGTCGGCTATATTCTGCAAATCCTTTTTTTAGGTTAATATTTATTAACCTATACTAACTAATGCAAATTCAACGATAAATGAAAAAATTATTTTCTAAATGGGTTTATTTTATTTTCTGAGATTCCATCAATTGACATGATGGTAGTTACGTATAAACATGTAGGCCAATGCTTTCGTTATACGGCAAATCATCACATAAGTAGAGTAAGGCTAAATTTAAATTCAACGGATGCGTATGAATAATGTTTCTCATGTACTCTCACTTTAAAATAGAAGATTATTCTGTCTCTAAAAAAAAATCTCGTGCCAATGTTTCGACAAAAAGTTTTTTGTTGCTTGTTATACTACACGCGGTATACTTAGAACGTTGAATAATATTGTCACAAACGACGAAACATTAGTTGGATTACTGACTTCCCGTAATACGTAACGTTTACTTCTTATATGATTATTAATAAATATACAGAGAAACAGGAGTGTTTGACTCACCTAATTTTAACGTATCTCTTCACAAATGAAGATTTTGAAACGAAATTTTATGTGTATAGCATATGAATACAGTGGCTCAAGCCAGTGGCTAGATATGAAGTATGGATGGATGGATATACTTCTCTAAAATGTTATAAACGATGTTGGAAAAACAATATTTGCCATTCCTGGAATACTATTTGCTGATATTCATTTTAGTCCAAGAAAATATGACTTTTTTGCGTACTTCTGGAATAAATTAGCAAATGTAAAGATGATACCTTGATACAAATTATACTGGGCGTTACAAGGGTTAAAAGTGATTCAATATTTTTATTTACTTAGAAGATGTGAAACATAATATTTTTTTATCAAAACTTCAACACCTTGTAAGTATCCCAAAAAAAATTTCAACGGCAAATATTCAAAAAATTGTACGTAAAAGAAAATTGAAATATTTAAATAACTTTTTCAATTTCCTTCGGCAGTCCTAATATTTTCAAAAATTCGAATTCCTTAAAATTATTTGAATACCTTAAAATTTAAATAAGTTTATTTTTAATTATATATACTTTTTTCTTTAAATTCACATTTTGTGGATCCACAGTGAAGTGTCCCATTTGAATAACTAAATCAGATATTCATTAATACTACAAATTTTACATTTTCAGTCGCAAATAGATATTTTTATAGTTGGTACGATATCAATTGGAACCTGTATATCTTAAAGCACAGGACCGTCTGCATTTCTCTTGAAATTTCTTCTTATGCTTGTAATTTATACTCGAATAGCCATTGGGCGAGTCCGGTATTGGTTGACAATCCGCCTGATGCAGAATCGACGGCGGCGCACTGGTTGT